CTTGGAAGGCAAAAGTAGGCAGATCTCTGTGAGTTCAAGGCCAGCTTTGTCTACAAAGAGAGTTCCAGGACAGCCAGGACTGTTACACAGATAAATCCTCTCTCAAAATAAACAAACAAGAAAAGTGTTTTCTTGCAATTAAAACTCAACTATGTATTTTTGATAACTACATATTTAATAACTATATATTTAATAATGTTTCTAGACCATATAAATCATAGCAATAAAGTATATTTTAATAATTGATATGTAATTTCCATGACAAGGAATTTTTCGTATGAAAATACTGACAGATGTTATATATGTTTTGGTTACTTTCCTTGAATTTCCTTAAAATTTAAAATTTGTGCTCTCTAATACGTTGAAATCATACAAATAGTGCCAAATTCTAGTGCAATGTTGAAAATTTAGTCTATTGTTCAATTGAATAAACATATTAAAATATAGATATGTAAATATATAGTGTATGTGTCCATTTACGAAGATTTATGTACAAAAATGAGCTTTCATGTCAATTGCTTTTCTTTATATCGTAACATCTTGAAAAACCTAGTTATACATGCAAAAGCAAATATATTTGTTTTTTAACAAATTTAACATATGAAAATAATTTATTAAAGATAAATCAGAGGTGAGGATCTTTAGCTCAGGCTTCTCATCACATTGTCTTGTAGGAATCCTGTAGGTTTAGGCCTTTTGTAGTTGTCAGATCTGCATTGTAATAAGATGTGTTACACTATTTCAAAGTTAGGTTGGATTTTTACCCATCGAATCAACGGTAACAAAAGAATATGCTACACTTTACTCTGGGAACTTCTAAGAACTGGTTCTTGGCCATACATACAAAAAGGACAGATTTCTGAATGATAGTACTCAAACTCAGCAAGTCTTTTGTACCTGTCTTTTTTTGTTTTGTTTTGTTTTTCAGGACAGGGTTTCTCTGAGTAGCTTTGGAGCCTATCCTAGCACTCACTCTGTAGACCTAGCTGGCCTCGAACTCACAGAGATCTGCCTGCGACTGCCTCCCAAGTGCTAGAATTAAAGGCGTGTGCCACCAATGCCCGGGTTGTACCTGTCTTTTGATTGCTTGGATTGCAACAGTATGATGGATCTGAGTTAGATTTACTTCCGGATTGACCTTCAGAGTTTTACAGTGTGTCTTCTGGGCCTTTTGCCCAATAATACTCCTTCCATATATTTGCTGATGTCTGAGTTATTTAAGAGACAACTATTTTTTAAGCATTTAGAAATAGCACACAGATGCCACTTGAAGCGGAAATTCCAGGCTGTCAAGCACATATTGATTGCAATTCAAACCTATCATTTTAAATATTTTATATGAAGTTACTTAACATTACATTACCTTTTTTACTAAGTACTTTGGGATTTAGTGCCTTTTGTTTTCTACAGTGAAACAGTTTAAATGATCAATGCCAGACATTTCTTATTTGAGAAGATGAAGAATTAGAACAGGACACAGAGGACATACAAAATAAAGACTGTTATGCCAAATGAATATAGAGATGAAAAGAAAACCTATGAATCAAATAGCTGTATTTTATCCTATTATTATTGTGTGTTGCGTGTGTGTGGGGGGAGGAGAGTTTGTGTATGATGTATGCACACAAATATATACAGTTGATAGCCCAAATGTGATCTTGTTTAGAGGCCACAAAAGCATATCGAGTGTCCTGCTTTATCATTCTTCATGTTGTTCCACCAAGACCTATCACTGAACCTGGCACTAAGCTGTCTTCCAGCAAGGCTCAAGGACTCTCCAGTCTCCATCCTCTATCCAATGAACAGAACTGATGCTATTCCCCTGGCTTCTGTAGGTGTGAAAGACTTCAACTTAGATCTTCATGCATTCTCAGCAATGGCTCTTATGCACTGTGCTACCTCTCCAGCTCATGCTTACTAGTAAGCTTACTAATATTTGTGGAGGAAAACCAGATAAACCAGATACTTATAGTTACCAGAGTTGATTGGATATATATTTGGTTCAACCAGAACACTAAAATTAGATGATCAGACATGTAGCAGCCCCGCTTTGTATGCTTCCAGATGTGGTTTCTAATAACACAGTCAAGAATATATATATATATATATATATATATATATATAGGCTAGTTTTCATTTTACAGTTTGAGAAAGATGCAGGCGACTCAGCTAATACCACTCAATGATTCTTTACTGAGACCCCTTTCTTAGGATTTGAATATAATATATTCAGACTGCTCGAATTGATAGCTTTTCCTAACCAAAAAATGACAAAATTGAAATCTTTATACAAATTATATATCAAAGTAGAAAAATTTAAAAATTGGTATTTTTAGATGTCTGGGATCCTTTATTAATACTTTTTCACTTTTCATTTTTTTCTTTCAGGCAGAGATTTACTAAGTAGTCAAAGATTTGTGTGGACAGTACTAGGTAGCCCAGACATGCCTGAAACACACAATCCATTTGCTTTCTGCCTCTGTAGTACTAAAATTTCAGACATGCATCACCCATATCCCTTTTGGATCCACTATTGAACCATTAGCAGAGCTAGTAGGATAGTTCTTTCAAATAAACTGTTACCCAAAGTGCTAAGGATTTAGGCTACATTTCTCCATTTAGTGAATAGTAGAAATCAGAAAATACTAAAAAAATATTGTATAAAGCTATAAAAATTCCAGATTGTTGTCTTTGATTTAATTGATGGCTACAAAAATCTCCCTTTTTTCATCAGGGTTAATAAGGGATTTAATGCTCAGTTTGATGTGGTTGGTTAGCCTTTTGATATATTTCAAGAAAAATTAATATTAAAAACAACTTTACAGATTATTCCATTTATGAAAGGTAAGAGGTAAAGACCAATTTGATTCATTCCAAATTATGGATAATGAAAAGAAACCCAACAGGCAAGCATCAATCATAAAATTCATTTAATTTTATTGTCTAGAGAATGCATACAATTAGAGATTTAAAATTTCATTTTGCTATATTTAGTACAAATAACTGCATCCTAATCCCTCCTTCTTGTTTCAAGATTTTCCTATAACTTCCAAGAAACATGTATTTCTAGATGTTATTATAAGATGTCATGGTCACTCATGAGAATTCTATTTCAAGATTTATTTCTAAAGTAGCAATAAATTATAATAAACTAAATATACAATAACCTGAACAAAGAGTTAGATACAATTTTAGTTTGTTTTCTTTATTTATGATAATGTTTTAATACTACCTATAATCTCCCATCTCAGAATACCATTGTATTACTTGTATGTACATAACATTAGTCCAGATTGCTCAGATTAGTTATCGAAGCAGCATATTGACTTCCTTAACTGTATATACACTACATATGTGTAGCCTATAAGTTACTAAGCATAAGCATTTCTACCATTAGAAATTCAATAGTTCCCAAACCATCATTATATCTTTGTGTAGCATAATGTGGTTATGTTATTAGAAAAGATTGTCATATCTCTAATCTTTGTTTAGAAAATTGACACACATTTTTTCCAAATTCACAGCTAATAATTAATAGATACATGGAATAAAAGACTCTTTCTGGTTGTAAAAATTAAGTGCATTTTCATTCTTGAATAATTTATGTTCCTTGATAGCATGAGTACACAACTGAAGTATATGTTGGAAAATATTTTTTAACTTAATCACTAAAAGTGTATATATTTCTACAGAACTTGTTCTATATCCTATGTTTGAAAATTTTTTTAAACTTAACCACTAAAAGTGAATATTTTTCTACTGAACTTTGTTCTATGTATGTCATGTACCTATTTCTCTTCATTTAACATTAGGCATAAAATAAAAATGTAAGAAAATAGCATATTATATATATTTTATTTTGGTGTTTTGAGACAGCGTTTCTCTGTGAAACAGCCCTGGCTGTCCTGGAAATCACTGTGTAGACCAGGCTGGCCTCTAACTCACAGAGATACCCCTACCTCTGCCTCCTAAGTGCTGGGATTAAAGGTGTGTGCCACCACCGCCCAGCTATATGTTTTAATTAAGAGGAGATTTGATATAACTGTATGTACCCAGGGCTGGAGAGATGGCTGAGCGGTTAAGAGTACTGACTGTTCTTCCCAAGGTCCTGAGTTCAATTCCCGGCAACCACATGGTGGCTCACAACCACCTTGAACGAGCTTTGATGACCTCTGCTGGCATGCAGATAGAAGATTGTATACATAATAAATACAATATTTAAAAAAAATAACTGTATGTACCCAAATTAGGCAGAAATCTCATATTTTCTTCCAATATAAATATGTTACAATTCCAGTTTATGTACAATTTCTTGTTTATAACAAGTGTACACATTTTAGTAATATATTATGGAAAACTAATTTAGCATAATATCACTTTCATTTTGGTATATCCATTACATCTAACTACCATTATATACTTCTTTGTTCTTGACCCAGGATGTTTCAAATTTTACCTAATTTCTTACAAATAAAAGTTTGCAGAACTTATTGCAATGTATATATAAATATGATCACTCATAAGAACTCAGCATAATACTTCTAAAATAGCAATATTCATACTAGGGGTCAGACCTCAGGCTTTGGAATGCTAAGCAAATACCCTATCACAAAAGCATATCTCTTACTTGAATTAAATTTTTAACATGTTTTTCTTATAATACTTACATTAATTTTGATGAACTTGCACCTTTTTGTCAATTTCAAAAATTTTGTTTTAATGTATTCATGATTTTTAGACATCAAACAGTTCCATGTGGTATATTTTAAGACCAATTCAACCATTAGTGCTTGAGGCTAAAATATGCTATGATAATATCTTTAAATCTTAATCTTATCTATCTCATTCCCAATAACCATTTAAATATTATATGCATTGTTTCATTCCAAAAATATATTGCAGGGAATGGCCTTTACAGTTTAGAGTATAACTTGCCTGTGATTTAGACTTACTTAGCTATTAGGAAAAGGCACATTAAATAGAATTGAAGAATTACTCACCTAGTTGAGTCTCCTGTATTGTTAGTTTACTTTCCACAGGATACAAAAGCTTGGGTGGCTTATCAGTCAGAGGAGCTGAAAAATAACAGAAATAACAATACAAAGAGTTATGCTGCGTGAACTGAAAACTTAATTTTCCCAACATCTTTTCAAATAGTGTCAAAGTACTCTATCAAGTAGTAATCTCAAGCAAATCATTTTGAAGAGGTGTTTTAGATTTTTACCGTATAAAAGGCATATGAAATATATGTGACATGTACTAAAATTTTTGGCATAGGATCATTTAATTCTTGTTAATTCCATTATTACTTTTCACATGTTAATCACTTTGCTTCAAAATACACAATTTAGTAATGATTTCCTACAAGTATATTATCTGATTGGGGAGGCAATCTGGCATTAGTTTTGAGTAAGTATAAAAATGAACTCTCATGCAAAGTAAATAGATTTAAGCCATATTAACCCGAATGTTTTATTATTTCTGTTGCATTTTTGTGGTACTTGTTGCTAATTTACATGCCATAGTCTCTTTGAATTTAAGCTTATACACATTTCCTTTCTGTGCTCTTGTCAATTTCAATTATCAGTCAATAAATCAAACAGTTTGCTGTGATGCTCTCTATGGAGAGATGTTTCCCATTGTATGCTTCATTTCTAGCTAAACTATATTCTCCGAACTATAAACAAATAATCTGTTCTTCATGAAGCCTTTTCCCCACAAGGTCTGAGTGAGTTGCCCAGGTCCCTTGAACCATCACTGCAACTTGCTCTCTGCAACAAGTACAGAAATGGTCGATTAATGGGTTGCTGAACTAAATGCTTTTGCTTCAAGGACTTCTTTCTTGTTTGCCAAGAACACATGCCAGCATGGTTGATAATTGGAAGGCTGATTTAGGTAGAACAGCCAGGACTTGGCTACATGTACTTATCGGCAGAAGATTCAAGAATTCAGGCTGCTTTAGCAGCTCGCCACCATCTTTAACAAAAAAGTTACTGCAAAAGAATGATGCACACCAAGTTACAGAAACAGATGTTTTCAAAGTTTTTTATTTAGGAAACCAACCTCATACATGATTTTTATTACTTCTATTCCTAAATAATTGAGGAAAGTATTCATCCATCTTTATTACTGTTTAGGTTCTGAAAATGGAGTTGCAAAGAAAGTTTGGATAATAGAGTGAAATATCACTTTAAAAGTCTCAAAGATGAAATTTCATGTCTAAGTTATCTTAAGAAAATTATCTTGACACCTAAATAATCTTTTTATTTGCTGAGTTTTTCAAAATATGTAATTATTGAACTAATAAGTCATATTTCTTAGACTCTTCTATCAAATGCTTATAGTGAACTTAAATAACAAATGTGTGGAATGGAAAAGATCATCACCAACCCCACATCTGACAGAGGACTTATATCCAAAATATATCAAGAACTCAAGAAACTAGACATCAAAATAATAAATAATCCCATTAAAAATGGGGTACAGATTTAAACAGAGAATTCTCAACAGAAGAATCTCAAATGGCTGAGATAAACTTAAAGAAGTGCAAATCAAAATGACTCTGAGATACCATCTTACACCTGTCAGAATGACCAAGATCAAAATGCTAATAATGGCTTATGTCAAAGAGGATGTGGAGTAAGGGGAATGATCCTCCATTGTTGATTGGAGTGCAAACTTGTACAGCTGCTTTGGAAAACATTATGATGGTTTCTCAAAGAACTGGAAACTGATCTACCTCAAGATCCGGTGATACCACTCTTGGGCATATACCCAAAGGATGCTTAACCATACCCCAAGGATACTTGTTCAACTATGTTCATAGCAGCCCTATAATAGCCAGAATCTGGCAACAACCTAGATGCCCCTCAACCAAAGAATGATAAAATAAAATGTGTTATATCAATACAATGGACTATTACTCAGCTGAAAAAATGACATCATGAAATTTGTAAGCAAGTGTATGGTACTAGAAGAAACCATCATGAGTGAGGTAACCCAAACCCAGAAAAATAAACATGGTATGCAATCACTCATAAGTGGATATTGAATGTAAAGCAAAGGATAACCAGGCTACAATCCAAACCCCAGAGAAACTAGATAACAAGGAGGGCTCTAAGAGGGATGTATGGATCTATCTCGGAAGAGGAAGTAGATGGAATATCTTAGGTAGACTAGGGTCACGGGATAATAGTGGGGATTGAATGGGGGAATGGGAACATGAGAGATCAGGATGATCAAGTTGTGGGTAGGATACAGCGGGAGAATGATGGGGGAGATATCTTAATAGAGGGAGCCAATGTGGGGTCATGGAGAAACTTGGTGCCAGGGAGGCTCCTGGGAACCCACAAGGATGACACCAGCTAGGACTCCTAGCAATAGTGGAGAGGATGCCTGAACTGGCGTTCCCTGTAATCAGATTGGTGACTGCCCTAGTTGTCAACATAGAGCCTTCATCTAGTACCTGATGAAAACAGATGCAGGGATCCACAGCCAAGCACTAGGCCCGAGCTCTGGGAGTTCAGTCGAAGAGAGGGTGGAGGGACTGTATGAGCAAGAGAGGGTCAAGATTGTGATGCATAAACCCACAGACATAGCTGACCTGAGCTTGTGGTAGCTCACGGACTTTAGGCAGACAGCTAGGGAAATACCATGGGCCTGACCTATGCCCTGTGACAGTTGTGTAGCTTGGTCTTTTGTGGGGTCCCAAGCAGTGGGACCAGGACCTAATCCTGATGCATGAGCTGGCTCTGTAGAACCTATTCCTTATAGTGGGATGCCTTGTTTATCCTTGATGCAGAGGGGAGAAGCTTTGGTTTTGCCTCAGCTTGATGTGGCATTTTTTTGTTGATTCCTATAGGAGGCCTTACCCTATCTGAGTGGAGACAGAGGAGGAGTGCATGGGAAGTAAACGGGAGGTAGGGGAAGGGAGCAGGTGGAGAAGAGGGATGGGAAATTGTGACTGGTATGTAAAATAAATAAAAATGTTGAAAAAAGAGATTAAACAATACAAACACCAAAACAACTTTGTGATCTATATGGTCCAGAGAATGAACTATGGTAGCTTTCTTTTGGTTTTAATAAGTGAGCTTATTAAGTCTAGAGTAAGACAAAGTAAAAGAAAAACTAGTAGAGATAGATAAATGATATCCAGATAAGACGGAAAGATGGTTACTTGTCTTCCAGAGGATCTGATATTCATGTAGCTCGCAATGGTGTGTGAATCCATCTCCAAAGAATGTGAGGTCGGCAGCTTCCTTAGACAATTGAACTCATATGTATAACCCACACATAATTAAAAATTAGTTAAAACAAATCTTAGAAAGATAGTAAAACATCATTAACTTAGGTAATCAAAATATCTAGTAGAAACTAAATGCTGAACTCCCCCTTAATATAGTCTGCTGGAGTTGGGCCAAGCAGATTCCTCTCAGGTGAAGATTGCTAGTAAAAGAATAAATAATAGATAAAAGGTAACATTATCAAACAATAAACAAATATCTATCAAAAAGCTAAAGAAGCCTCCTTTAACCTGGAGTTCCCACTAGAATCCTGGGCAGAGCAAAATGTTCCCTAATATGAGGATTCTGAGTAAAAGAACACAGATAAAGATGGTATCATTAATATGGTACTCACAACATCAAGCAGAACCCAACTTGGGAAGCTGCAGCAAGAGGAAGCTCCAAAGAGAGCTTTCCATGGCTGAGTACCCCATGGCAGAATACCCAAGGCTGGACTCCCAGCTTTTCTTTCCCATTACAAGTACTTTTGTATCATGGAATATGACAGTAACATACGTTGAAAATTGTTTACCTTCTAGCTGTTCTCAAAGACACAGTATTTTATGTGTTGGTTGTTTTGCACTCCCTGTCACTATGCTGGGGGGAGGAGACAACCTATACCCAGACAAGGGGTCTCGAAGGACATTCTGAGACAACCGTGTTTGGGTTTGATGTGAGGGAGAAGCAACCCTGCTTTCAGAGACATGATTTTGGACACCACATGATGATTTACCAAAACAATGTACATTATGAACAAATACTAAAATAGTTTGTTTAGTAAATGTACTCAGTTAATAAATCTCATGGCTGTAGTTAGCAGTAGATAATGTGACAGTTTACTTAGAATCAGCTGAGAAAAATGTTCCTTGTACAAACACATCCCACACTAGTCTGTGATAAGAGAGTGAAATGTATAGAGAAAGAAACTAAAATCTCTATGTAGCATATGTGTTCAGAATTATAAAATACTTGGTGTTTCTTTACATTAGCCCATTTGTCTCTTTTGCATAATGCTACATATTTTACTTTTCATAATTTGGAATGTGGCAAAGTCCAAGTTAACATATAAATTCTTCAAGCTTATGTCATAGGATCATAAGGTGTTTGAATTAGAGAAAATTCTTCTCATTAAGTCTTTATTTTTAATGTTAAAGCCACATTTCTAACTCAAATGATTTACATAGTATATATAGAGCAGGCCTTTTTGTATTGAAATTTCATGTGGTCAGCACCACACCTAGTTTTGTTTATCTGTCTTAATTTCACCTACTATTATATTTTCCAGGACCATGAATTTTCTTGGAATTAACATTATTTCATGATTTTCATCCATTGTGCTTATATCAGATTCTCTCTAACTATTTCTCATATTAATGAGCACCAAGGCTGATTATATATCCTGTGTATTATAAATAATAGCACCACAATAAAAATATATGGAACACCTGTATGGCTGGATTGTCTGGCAGTTGTCTTTTCTGTTCTTTGAGTAGCCTCCAAATGTTTTATAGTGGCTTACTAATTTACAGTCTTATCACCAGAGTTTAAAGGTTTATCTTATCCACACTATGGTAAATATGTTATTCTTGTTTTTAGTAATAGCCATTATGTCATTCCAACATTCAATTTATATATACACGCGTGTACACATGTATATATATATGTATATATATATTTGTATGTATAACATTATAATCTGCCAAACACTGTGATTGTTTGGAATTTTGGAGGATACACGCTAACTCACAATGCTTTGTTATTTAATAATAAAACATTTTGGATTAATTCAACAC